CTTCATCGCCTCTGTCAGCTGCTTGATCTCCCGGCGCAGGGCAGCATTCTGCCTCTCCAGGTCTTCGCTCTCCTGAGGAGACAAAAACCGCAGGGGTTTCCTCAGCGCGGGAGCCGCAGGGACGAGCTGGGGACACGGAGGTCGCGGTCCCGCGCGTCTCTGCCCCGCAGAATTTCCAGAACGAGACGTTTCCGGTAAATTCGGCACAGAGCCGCTCGCCTGGGCAAACCCCACTCCCTCAGCGGGCCGGGCCGGGCGCGGGTGCGATGCCGGCGGCCCCAGCCGCTCTCCCCGGCCCCGGCCTACGAGAAGTGACTGTGGCGGGGTCCCGCCCCCGCCTTCTCGCTCCCTCTCACACACACGCACGACGCCCGGCCGCTTCCCGGGCCGCCCGGCCGAGGGGGAGGGCGCGCTGAATAACCGCCGTCTTTAACCAGAAAACCACCTGCCACAGGAAACCTGTCATTGCCCTGGAAAGAAAAGACTCACTGCTTCCTGCTAGCAGCCGGGGAAACCAGCGGCACGGTGGGGAGGAGGGGGAGACACTTGAGTCAGAAGAAAAGAGAAACCGAGGCCTCAGAAGAACTGAATTAATACTGTTATTAATGAGAATAACAACAAAGGGGTTAACAGTGCTGCTCAGCCTTGTCTCAATGATCTCTCGAGCATCAAAGCCTTTGCTGCCTCCACTGCTGCCAGCTCCAGGCTGGAGCATCCCGGGCACCAACCGACCGTGGAGCCAGCAGCCTGGGCAGGACCAGAGGAGGGAGGGAAGATGAAGCACCAGGTTCTGCAAACTCATCCGAGACAGCTCAAGTGGGACCCAGCACTCTGAGGCCCTGGAAAGCTGCACCACCACCTTGGCAAATCGAAGCTGTCACCTCTCTGCTCACGCCTCTGCTGCCACACTGACTGCTGACTGTGCCCGCTCTCTGCACACAGGCTGAAAGGTACCCAGCAGTTACAGCAGCTGTCACAGGAGGAGCTCACGCAGCAAACGAGCATCTCTCAGACGTGACTAAATGCTTTGGAAATCATAACTGACGTCGAACTCAGGAGCTGACGGGAATCACCCAGGGGCTGGGAGCCCCAGCTTCCCCGTGACTCATTCCCCTCAAAACACAAGCTATGAAGCCATAGGGCAGGTGGAGCTGCTGGCTCCTTTCATACCACCATAGCTCAAGCTAAGCCATGCTTTTCTGGGCAGAACCACGTTAGAGAAGCAAAGTTCCTGATGCAGAGCTGGCCAAAGGCAAAGAGCACTCAGGGAATGAATGCAGGAGCAGCACGGAATCACTGTTTGCCAGGAATTGGAAAAACATTAGCAAAACTTCACCACCCGTCCTCTTCTTGCCTCTCTGCATTTCTCCAGCTGCCAGCCAGGATCGTCTCTGTCTGAACCAAACTGGACTTAGCCTTTTTGCTCCCATCTCCATGGGAAGGCAGGGAGCATATGCTGTCAGTGCAACCTGAGCAGTAGTAATCTCGTAAGCAAGTGGTTTGTCACCTGCTCTAAGAAGAGCAGCCCAATAGTTCTTGGTTTACAGCTAGGCAGGATTTTCCTGGAGGAGGATCAGAGCCCACATCCACCTCTAGCATTGCCTTGGAGAGAAGAGCACCAACCCCAAGGAAAGGGTGTTTCTTCACCTCTCAGGCACAGTTGCCCAGTGCCATTGCTGCTGACAGATGTAATGCAATCAGCCTAGAGCCATGTCAGCTCTAGAATGATCATCAGCTACTGAGGAAAGAGTGAAATCTCTGTCTTAAACCCAGCTCCAACCACGGACTGAGGGCACTATGTAAGAAGGAAGGTTCAGGACTGGCTTCTCAAAAATTCTTCTCAAAAATGGGGTTCTGGGGGAATATGAAGACCACTAAGTCAAAGGATGTTTTTTGAACATGAGCCCGACTACTGCTTTTCAAAGGGCAGCCAAGCCCAGTACAGGGATAAAGATGGTCTCTGCCCAGTGCAGGCTGCATGTTCTGCATCCTGCCCGCCAGTGGCCCGAAACACACAGGACTGCACTTACCAACGTGTCAAATGCAAAGAAGCCCAGCTCCTGTGCTCCAACACTGACCACACACTCCTGTCCACACACACACAGCCAGAAGTGACCATCCCTCCTGAAAAGGAGAGACTAATTCTTCACACTGGGAGGAGCCACAATGGTGCCCACGGTGTCACAGGAGGAGAGTGGGACAGCAGGGTGAAACCAAAGGAGGGAAAATCCATGCTAAATGACAGGAAAAGCCGCCAGGTACTGTAAAGTGTTCAGATGTAGAAAGGGATACAAGCACTACCATGGACACATTAAAAAATATTAGAAAAAGGTTACGATTTATTCATCTACACTGAAGAGTGTCTCAGGGAGCAGACCAGAGGAGATGGCCCATTTGCCTCCACGTTGCACCATCATCCATACCAATGAATACAAAGCGGTACTGTCTCAGAAAAGCATCCTTGTACGCTGCTGCACCACTGCATAAGGGATGGCATGAAGCACAAAGCCAAAGAGAGCCAGCCCAGGTGAGTGTGTGCTTTCAAAGAGCTTCTGACTGAGCTGATCAGAAGAGGTTAGGAAAGGAAATGGGTTAATGTCAGACCGAGAGATAGAGATGGATTCAAAACTTCTGCAAAACGAAATGCTTCAGTGGCAGTCGTCCTGGGCTGTGCGCTCTTGCTGCAAGCGCTGACTCCTACATCCTGCCCTGGCCTCACTTTTCCTGTCCTGCCTCAACTGAGCCTCTCAGCTCCAAGTCCCCAGGCGAAAAGCACGTTGTCCCCTGTGTGAGCCCCCAGGGACAGGGACAGGGAAGGGTGGGAGTGCTCACCAGATGCAGCGTGTCTGCTTTCTGTGTCTGCCTTAGGCGGCTCTTCTGGGCAGCGATGCGATTCTTCTCCCTCCTCTGGACTTTCCTCATGTCATCAGAAGAGTCCTAGGGAAACACGGCATGGAAATGAATGGGCCATCCCCTCCCTCACCCTGCTCCTGTAGGGCAGTAGTGGGAAGGGGACACAGCAGATGATAGCATCATTGAAGCACAGGATGTGAGATACACACTCTCAGCACCAGGATAAAGCCATACCCCAGGGGTGTGTGATGCTTTTGGCATCCCCATCACCAGAAGGGGAAAGTCTGACATCCTTGGGCATTCAGGCACAGCTGAGAAACGACCACACTCCCTTCACCAAGACACAGGCCTGAGATATGGCTTGAGGGACCAGAGTAAGGACCTCTCTACAGGACAGAGGCAATGTACAGAAACCTTTTCCTTTCCCTGTCTCTCTGCGGGGATGCGGCACTGCAGACATCCCAGCTCCATGGCTGGACCATCTTTTCAGAGATTCAGCCTGTGCTTTCCTCCTTTTATCCCCATAGGTCTCACTCCCTCTCCATCACTCTTCTGCCTCAGGCTTTATTTGTTGCAGACCCTTACAGCACAATGTGGCCCCTGCTTTGTCAGAGTGCTTGGTTTCTCCCCAGATCTCATTTGCTCCAGCAATCCTATCTCTGTGCTTGCTTTTTTCTTGAACCCCTTGGGCAGGAGACAGCACAGGTCCCCAGGCTCCAGGTCACAAGCATCATGCAGCAGCCGTTCTCTGCTGAGATCAGGTCCTGCTGCTGCCTTCTGACAGTTGAAACGGTCACACAGACTCTTTCATCTTCTATTTTCATATTGCACTGCCTCTTCTGTGGACTCTCTAACATTCACACCACCGCTTCTCCACAGGACTACAAAACTCAGCCACAGACGTTATCTTCCCAGCCCATCGGTCTGTCCACATCCTCTCCCCCTTCCACCCCGCCCAAGATCTATTCTTTTCTTTGAACTTAACCGTTTTATCCTCACCTTCAATACCCTAGAAACATCTCAGATACAGCAGCTCCCATGTCCTGCACCAAATCCAGTCCCTATCCTTTGGCAACCCCTGTGCTTTACCTCTTTCTCTACCAGGATGTCTCCCCATCCCTCGTTGCAAACCCAAAATCATCTGCCCTGATCATCCCCAAGATTTCTGAGCAAAGTCTCAGGTATTTGCTGGTGTTGCCAGCACTAGAGAAATGGCAAATGACAGATACAGTAAGGCTTAACCAGAAAAGGTAGTGGTAATACCTCAGCCTTGTGTCAGTATCTGCCGGTAAAAGACCTACCATTCAGCTGCCCTGTCCAACAAAACAAAATTCCTCTGTCAAGCATTACTGAGACAAAAAGCCTCTGAGGCTGAACAGAAAAGAAAGCAGACACAAAGTGTCAGGGCTTTTCTGTGTCCCCGAGTGCTGTCCACGGCAGCGGGAAGCAGCCAGGCTGTCCCTGAGCCATCCCGGTCCATGGCGAGGAGGTGCACGCTCAGCCTCCTCACCAGAGCACCAACTCACACACCAAAGTTTCCTCCCTGCCCAGTGTGCACCACAGAGCCCACTGTGCCCAGGGGTCCCAGCCCCCCAGGTGCCCCTGACATAGTTCCAGGTATCCAGACCTCCTCTCTCCACCCATACCCAGCTCAGCAGCCAGGGTTCCTGCTGGGGCTCTCTGCTCAGCCCCACATCCCTCTCCCCACAGCCGTTCCTAGAAAGCCCTGCCACACTGCGCTGTGAAAACGCCAGCGGTGGGTGCCACCCCTCCTCCTGCCCACCCATGGCCCACTCCAAAGGACTCTCCAGATGGGGAGAGTGGGGAAGGGTCCCCGCTTTACCTGCTTGCCGGGAGGGGGAGACTGGCTGAAGCTGCTGGAGTCGCTGCTGTCGGAGCTGTGGGGCATGGCTCCCGTCTCTGGCTCCCAGGGCCTCTTCAGCTTCCTTCGTGCTCTTGGTGTGCCTGCCTTCTTCTCGCTTCCCTTCCCTCTCCCCTGGCCTTCTCTGTCCCCGCTGTGATAGCCCTTGGCTTCCCAGCTCTTGCCTGTCCCAGAGGCACACGCTGTCCTCCTGCCCCACACTCTGCCACTTTCTCTGCCTCTCCTCTCAGAGCCTCTGCACCTTTCCTTTAGGTCTCGGCCTCCTGTGGTTTCTCAGAACCTCGGGGATGTAAGCTGAAAGTCACGTGGCCGGAAACTTTAAGGCAAAGAAGAAAAGTTACAGAAGAAGAAAAAATTTAGAAAAAAAAAAAGAGAAGAAGAAAAAAAAGCACATCTGGGAAAAATGAGCTTCAAAATAGCCTGAAAAACCCCCGAAAAATACCTTCAGGCAGTTGAAAAACAGCGAGATGGGTTTTCTCTGAGACAAACAGCAGTGATGGAAAGGAAGAAAAGCCCCGGCTCTGGCTGCGAAACCTGGACCCTCAAAGGAGGGCAGTGCGGAGGTGGTGCTGCCGGGAGCCCCAGAAATTCCAGGGGTACGGTGTGCCGTGCCAGCCCTTCGCAGGCAGGAGGTCGGTCCAGCCCCGGGCAGCCTCCATCACCCCAGCCCAGTGGGGAAATTCCCAGGAAGCCACCCACGTCCCCACAACCCACGCGCCCCCTCCCACCACCCCCGACACCATTGACGCGGGTCCCGGAGAGAGGACGGGTACCTCAGCAGGTATCACGTAAATGCTGTTTGTGCAGATTGGCTCCCGTGTGTACGATGAAGCACCAGTCCCATCTGAGAAGAAAGGCTTGGGATTGTAGAACATTTGGGCTGGTTTTGGGAAGACTGGTATTTTCTATAAGGCAAAGCTCTTTAGGACTTTAAATCACGCATTAGTGCCTCACCACTGGTCTGTAAGGGGAATATCAACCCTGGCACACAGATTAATAATCCATGGACCTAGAAGCTAAACCTGAGACCTAATTCTCACTCCACACTGTGGTATGAGCTTGGCTGCATCCCAGGGGATATGAGACTGTCACGTAGGGGTCCCGACTCCCTGCCTCCTCCCCTCTAGCACCCTCTCACCATAGCTGGCACTAGAAGCTGTGGGACAGGACTATGGGGAGACAGGAGCATTATGCCACGTTGAAGGTTGTTTCCTTGCTGTTCTCCCCCTGCCAGCATCCAACTTGGGCAATGGCCCATTCAGATGGCATCAAAGAGAAGCTGCTTTGCATCCGCTTGTTTCTCCCCTGGTCTGTGCTGTGTGGGACTACTTCAATCCTTAGTATGGGCCTCGGTAGGTGGAAGATGTGCAAGCAGCCCCTGAGACAGCAGTGTTTCAGGAGTGCCCTCAGGGTACCGCATGCCAGTGGCTCTGAAGGTGACAGTGCAGGAGCAGGGAGTGACAAAGCAGGAGCCATTTGCTTTCTGATCTGCTTATGTCACCAGAGCCAGTGGGGTTAACCAGGGCCATATGCCAATGGGCTCTCCATCCATGGACTGGAGTATACATCTTCTGAGAAGCTAGGTTCTTGCATGTACTGTGAAGTGCAGATACAGAAATAGGTGTGAACCCAACCACAGTAACCCACTCCTGTGGAAAGCAGCAATTCCCAGTTCCCACTTACTGGTTTCCATTGCATATTGGTGTTTTCGTTGCATTTCTCCTGCCTCATGCAGAAGCAGTGAGCAAACCTCAGCAGCAGGGCATCAGCAAGGGCACTTGAGGTGCAGCTTTGGGTTTGCAGCCTTACTGCAGCACAGAAAGCGCACGTGCAGAGGATCACATGCTCAGAGCACACTGCAGATTTATGTGGTCATTGCTGGCTTTTTGTCCCAGCCCTGCTGCTCATGGAGCCAACACAGGGGCAAATATGGCCAAAAGCAAGAACTGTTTAGGGAAATGCTACGATCCCACACACTTTCGAAGACAGTTGCAAGGGTTTGCTTGCTCAGCATGAACCACCCTGAGGGACGCTGTCTCTTGGCAGAGCAGCCTCTCTGTAGCAGGCCGGGCTCCTCTGGCATGGCCAGTTCCAGGAATTGAGCAGCCAAAGGCCCCGGTGGGGCCAGGGGCTCGTGGTGCATTGAGTTCAGGCCTCCCAAGTCACCAGCTAGTGGCACAGCCATTGAAGCATCCATTTGCTCACTGCATCGCTACACTTCCTCTGAACTCTGCAACCCCATGCAGCATTTCCTTTCCAGGAAGCACACTGCTGGATTGCCACTCTCCCAAGGAAACCCATGCTCTCTGCCAGTGACTGGTCTCAGAGACCGCCTGGCCCATCCTGCTCTACAGGCTGCTGCTGCGCAGGGAAAAATATCCTTGTTCCATTACTGGGCAAAGAAGCTGAATTCCTTCTTTTTGTGTCTAACAAGGCTGGCGGCTGAAGGAGGTGATTGGGAAGGCGGGGGTATGTTGGCCAGAGGCTGTGCAGGGAAGCTGGGTGTCGCGACAGCAGCTGGATGGTCAGTGCAAAACTGGTCAGAATGTGGCTATGGCAAAGGCTCTTCTTTGATCCACAGGAAGAAAGTTTTGAGCTGTGACCTGCTTTGCCCAGAGCTGGGCTTTTATTAACAGTCGATGGAGAAGTCTCAGGAGAGAACGACATCACCAGAGAGGGTTTGGACACTTTGTCTTGCTGAGTAGGAGTAAGAGAGCATCCCTCTTCCCTCCTTGCACGAACACGCTCCTCGCCTTCAAGCTGGCTGTGATGCTAATGAATTCCTGGCACTTGTGAGCAATGAATAAGTGTGCTGTAAATGAGACAGTGTCTCCTGGTGGGAAGGTGGGCAGAGCCTTCACAGTGCTACCTGGCTGGGCAGGACCCACGTTACCTCCTTGTAGGCAATGCCCAGTGCTGTTCCTCCAGACAGAGCTGCGATTCCCCAGCTCAGAGCAGCAGAAACCACCCATGTGGCTTCACCAGCTCATGGCTTTCCAGGTGTGGTGCAGGCACAACATGGGGACCTGATGTCCAGCTGTCCCTCCCCAGCCTCTCCCTCTGTCCTGCTATAAGGGGGAGCCTCAGGGGCCAGCCTCCTGATCTCTGTGCTTGATTTAGGGGAGTAAATTTACACCATTTACATCCCTGACTTTCTCTTTTGGATCATTTAGGTTTCTTGATCTTAATCACACGAGCAGTGAAATCACTGTCAGAGGCACTGGATGAACTCACAAGGGTTAGGTTACTGCCATAGTAGCAGCTTGATGGAGCAGGGATATTTGCAGAGGTTTTTAAGGGAAGGATGGGGCCATCAGGTTCTGTGTTGGACCCTTCTGGATAACAGCAGGCACTGCTGAAGGGAGCCCTGTTCTCTCCAGGACTGCAGGGACTCTGGAGGCTGGGCTTAGTGTGATTGCAACTGCCAGAGAAATGGCTTGAAAGCAGCAAGATGCAGTTCAGCAAGAACAAATGCAAATGTAAAGCAAAGCAAGATGTAGGTAGAAGAACTGGGGAATAACCAACCAGGCAGCAGAATGGCAGGGAAAAATCTGGGGGTTGCAGAGCACCATCAACTGAAGCTTTGCCAGCAACGCGGAGGTGTTGCACAGAGCAGAGGAGATGACTGCCCTGTGCTGCCTCTGCAGGGCCAGGACCCACTCAGAGTCCCAGCTCCAGAAGCAGAAAAGTCCAGAAGAAAACAATATGAAGGATAAATACACAGAAATCCTGTGCTAAGAGAAAGGAGTGAAGAACTTGGGTCCATTTAGCCCAGAAAAGAGAAGTCTGGGGGACAGAAAGTGGGTGGGGAGGAAGGAGCAGTCTTTAACGTGTTGTAATGGAAAGGGTGGTCGGGGTTTTCTGCGCAGCCAGCACAAGGTAAGAAGCACCGGGTCCAACTGCAGCAGGAAAGGTTCAAGTCTGAGGTTTGAAGCAAGATGAGGTTAGGAAGACCTTGGGATGGGCAATTCAGGAAAGTTATGCAGGCCACTTCATACGAAGTGGCTGGGAACAAACCTTTGTCAAAAAGGGTCCAGGTTGAATCCTGCCTCTGTAGGATGGGTTAGAGTTACATTTCCAGGGTTTAAATAAGGAAAAAGTAATAATAAAAAAGCTACTAAGACAGGCTTCTCAGAGCTCAGAGAGAACATGGGGCACTTCTCAGCCTTATCTGAAGCCAATCCCTTTGCCTCTAAAGCCCAAAAAGGTCCCTACATCCTACCTGTGCAAACAGCTCCCTCAGCACCAGTGGTTGCTAGAATTTCCTTGCAAACCTGCTGCTCCATCCCACTCACCTGCTGCAGGCTTACAGCAGCAACATTCAAAAATGCATCTCACCCCATCCATCGCACCCGTCTTGTTTGCATGCCGATTCAGTGCATAGTGCTATTTAAAAATCCAACCTAGAGCAGCTACCAACTTCAGCCTCCTGTAAACCACCAAGGTTGCTTCTGCTTCGCATGTAGCATTTTATGCAAATAATTTCTTACAGTATCTGGACAATCGCAACAATTTGCTTATCATTCCCCACATGAGTTTGAAGACTTCTGTGTGGGATTCGGTGCTGATAAGAGATGGTGAGTGAACGGTGGTGTCGGACAAAGTCCTTGCTCTCTACCAGACAAGCTTCTGCCATATCCTGCTGTGTCAGCACGTGCTGGTCCTGTCTGTGACAGGATGGCTTGTGTCCATCACCAGGGCCCTTTCATCTCAGCTGAACTGAGTATGAGTGCAAGGTCATGATAGGAGAACTCAAGCTTAGTCCCATAAATTCATTCTACCCAGCAGAGAGCAAACACCCATCACACGAACACTTCCAGTCTTTACTGGGCGCAACCTGGCAACTTACAGGAAACAGGTACTTTACACTGCACATGTCTGATAAATGACAAGGGCTGCAAGTCAAGCACACAGAAGTGAGGAAATCCCAGAATTAGCTCCCTTAAGCACACTGTATTTACACCCTCATGCCATGTAACATGCTATGCTCTATAACTGCATGATCCACAAAGGTTTCTTCACTGGGA